ACAACAAAAATATATTATGTGTATAAGGGGCCCCCTTTATTCACGCCGGTATCCAGGCCGGGGTGGTTCGGATAACCACGTAAAGGGGGTTATATATGTGGAAAAATACCAAAAGGTCTCCCAAGCAGGAGGCGATTTCAAAAAATCAAATTGTTTTTATGTTAAAAAAACGACTGTTTTTTATTAAAAACCTTTCGAAAAGAATGGGTGGCAGCATTGCTTCGTGCAAGACCGCTGCGCCCCCCGACGAAGCTCCTGATAACCAACAGGAGGAGCATTGGTCAAATGCGCCTGACGATAGGAAGCAACGACAATCCAAAATAGAGAGAGAGAGAGAGAGAGAGAGAGACGAAGCGTCAGTCATAAAACCTGCAGACTGTATGACAAACAAACTCGGAGAAAATATTAGCTGACCGAAAGAGTTTATACTAATTTATTCAAACGTACTGTATCTCTCTTATTCGTGGGAACTGAACCAAGCAGTGAACATTTTGAATTCAATAACCTCAATTAATTTCTATAGACCAAAGGTATGGATTGTTTTTATCGAAAAACATTTCTATTTGAAGTTGTTACAATTGAAATTATACTAACTGTATACAATTAAATTTGCGCTTCTTGATATTTTCCAAGTTTTCCACAAAATACCGCGCATGACAGAAACTCCGAATCGTGATCGACCGAACGAAACACCCTTCAAAGAGGAAAAGTTAGCGTCCAGTTCTCTTCTCAACATCCGTAGGCGTTTGAATATCACCTCTTAGGTAAAGAGATTGAATGTTAGTAATAAATGTGCATAGATTTTTGAGATTTTTAGGCTTTATAGAATATTTGATGTTGTTAAAATTGGATATAGGTGGACTTTACGAATTCATTAATGGATTATTATTGGACAAGCTCGATACAAGCATATGATACCAGAACCTAAAACATTCAAGCAGCTGATTTTTTGAGATAGGCAAAAACAAATATCATTACTTTCATTTCAACCACTTGAGGTCAGCATTTGGTATAATGCATGCAAACTTGCATAAAGGATTTGCCGGAGTTTTGCACATATCCGTCCCTTCAAAATACTTAGCTTCAATAGACGATTATAATTATTTCCACATCTCAACCTATGAGGACCTTTTGGTATCTTTTCTACACATAAAAACCATTCATTCGAACTAAAATCATGTATAATATGAAAAGTATTTATTTTCCATAGTAGGCTCTGATTCTAGCATACATGAAAAAATCATATTGTTCATAGTGTTTCATTCTTCAATACATTTTCTAGAAATATTCCTTTTTATCTGCCATATGGCAATTCCAACAACCCGATAAGTTTTGTTAAGTTATTTTTTGTTTATAAAAACGACAAAAAAATGTCAGTACATCAGTACATCATTGTTCAGTTAGAATATTCTCATTTAGTTTTCGGTTTAACCAGTAGAAAAGTACCACGTCAACAAACTCTAAAATGGTCAATTCTCGTCCATTGGAAGAAAAAATTGAAGTGATTTTTATTTATGGTGCGAGAACTGAAGGATTTTCAATAAACACAATGGAGCACCACCACATTACTCCAGACAAGTAAGAGACTATTTGGATACTACTTTTCCCGGTCGTTGGATTAGCCGTCGAGGTCCTACAGAACGGCCAGCTTGCTCGCCAGATTTGACACCTTCGGACTTTTTTTATGGGGCTATTTGAAGCAAAAGGTGTACGAAACTGAACCTGCTTCAATATTGGATATACGGCAGAGAATAATAAATATTTGCAGAGACATTGACGTTACTGTGTTCGAAAATGTTCGGCGTGAAATATCATATGTCAAGAAGTTCAAGGCAACCATTTCGAGCATCTTCTGAACTGATCTCAAGCTTATTACCACATATTATGTAGTTGAATGTCATTGTATTCAGGCAATTATTAAAAGTTCCGCCATTTTGTAGTAGTTGAAGATATTGACATTATATTCTAGGGTTGTGAAGCATTTGTAAGGAGCTTCAAAAATATGTGTCACAAGACCCTCTTTTACATTTAATTTTTTTCCCAGTCGCCATCTTCAAAGTTTCATCTGTCAATTTCACTTCAAAATAAAGTATTCATGCATTTATTTCATTATCACAAATTTCAATTTTTTGAGTTGACCCGTTCAAAAAATAAAAGGGGGGGACATTAAAGAAATGTACTGTATATTATGCGTCATCCGAAAGACGTTTGCATTGCATCGTTGTTGATGAAAATACGTATTTTTTTTTCAATTTGGGAAATATAATCTATAATAATAGTAGAAATTGAAAAAAACGGTAAATGGTCAAAATTATCAGTGATAATAAATATAACTTATCGTTAAAGTCCAAAGTGAAGAATTAAAGAAAAATGGTAAATACTAAATCACTAATTCATATATTATGTTGGTCTTCTTATTCAATATAATATTTCGTGGTATATATGTTTTGGTATACCTAAGCTTTGGTTAAGTACTGCTTTTCCCATTCTCCAAAAGGCAATAATTTTACCATTTTTTATGATTTTCATATGCTTTTATTCACCATACTCAAGATTTCCAAACTTATAGCCCCAAAGGAAACCTATTAGGGAAACGATATTTCAATGCTGAGCATCATTTTCCAAACTAACGTTTCTTTTACGTATACAGAAAAATGTTTACCGGGTAAGCAGATACATAAGAACCTTCAATCGTATAAAATCCGGAATAACACAAANAAACTAAATTTTTAGGGAAAGAGTTGAAATTCAAAATAAGATTATTGAAAATAAATAAATATAAACTCACTTGGGATCTTTTCTAATTTAAAATTCGATTTGTTTGAATAAAAACTGTTGAAATCCTGACTAACATGGTTATAACATGATCATTCATTATGAATCATACTTAATTTTGGTAATTTTTTAGTTAAATTTTGAATTCTACAAAGTTCATAAAGAGTACAGTGACAGAAAGCAATGACAAACAAGTTAATATAAATTCTTCCAAATGCCTTAGTATAATCACCTGTTTGATATTCCTCTTGAAGATGATCACTTGGTGATCAAAACACGTGTCGAGGTGTTAAAATAACGGTTTGGTATTCATAACCATTCATAACCACCTAAAACAATGTACGAGGGAGGTCTCAGAAGTACCCGTTCCAACAAAGAAAACACAAAAATTTTGGAAAAAAATGTATTCATTTCTCAACATGATCTCCTTGCAGCTCTATACACTTTTCCCAACGATGTTGAATAAGTTTGATACCGTTTTTATGATAACAAATGTCTCTCCTCAAAATAGCCATTAACTGCTGACATCACTTTTTCATCGTTGGAAAATCTTTGACTACTGAGTAATTTTTTGTTTGGGAAGAGAAAATGATCCGAGGAGGCTAAATCTGGCGAATAGGGTTCATGAGGTAGTAATTCAAACTTCAATTCGTTAATTTGGGCCATTGCGATAATCGATTTGTGGGCTGATGCATTGTCTTGATGGAACAACATTTTTTTCTTAGCCAAATGCGGCCGTTTATGCTTGATTTCTTAACTCAATCACTGCGATGAGTTCGCATAAAACTCGCCGTTGATAGTTTCACCTTTTTTAAGATAGTCAATGGGAATTATCCTACGCGCATGGCAAATAACAGATGCCATGACCTTGCCTACAAATGAAACGGTCTTCGCCTTCTTTGGAGCCGGTTCTCCCTTCTGAGTTAACTGTTTTGATTATTCTTCTGTCTCGGGTCGGGCTGAGACCTTTCAAATAACAAATTTTCACCACTTTCACAAATTCACCGAAAACTTTCCCTATTGATGGCTGCCAAACAAATACTAAACATCGCAGCATTTTCAAACAGCTACCGCCATCTCTAGGTCAAGCCAGGTACTTCTGAGACCACTCTCGTATAGTAAATAGTATTCATAGCAGATTGGTCAATGAATGACTTCTAACAAGAGGAATTAGCATCTGTAATATAATACAAAAGATGAAATTTCTGATATGGAGACATATCATGAAAACGTAAATTGAAAAAATGTAACCCGATCAGGATTCGAAACCGGCTCTCCTGTTCTCTAGACAGGCTATCGGAGCCACCAAGCAGAATAACGACCAATTCATATCTTCAATTCAGTCTCTCCTAGTGCGATGAAAATGAAACTTGTTGATTGTAATGAATTCAACAACTAAACTTCATGCATTTGAAGAAACCTCAATGTATGAAATGCCGTGAGGCAGGCGGAAGAGTTCATAAAGAAACCATCGCCCAAATTCACGGAAGACCTGCTAAATTACAACTGTAAGGGTAGTGGAGGGTCTAGTAACGGGGCATAGACGACCCAGGAAACCTATGAGCAACATGGGTCTGACAGAAGAAATCCAATGCAGGTTCTGTCAAGAAGAGGAAGAAACCGCACTGCATGTGCTCCGCGAATGCGAAGCGATGCGGGGAAGAGAAACCAGAGGCTGCCAGCTATATGAAGGGGTCAGTGTCAAGGCTATGGAGTCTCATCAAAGAGATCAAGCTAGACAATGAGCTCTAACAACCAAGGAGCACCACAATAGATCTGAAAAGGTCGCATCTAATCTATCTAATGAAATGCGGTCATTCTGCTCATGGTGGCTCTGATAGTATAGGTGGTTAATGCGTCTGTTTAAAGAACATAAGAGCTGAGTTCGTAACCATCCATGTGAATCCATTCATATGTCTGTATACCGCAGTTTCAATCTTTCGAAATAATTTTCTTTATAGAAAATTGAATGCACTGCAAACCCTTCAGATATGATTATTCCACAAAAGCCTTACATCTACCATCCATACTTGAGATCTTGGTATGAGTATTTGGATTATATCTTCCTCAATAATTTTAAATATTAACTCGCGCTGTATACTTGTATAAAATATTTCTTTATGTGAGACGTTGAGATAACTTTTTCATCGAACCGATACAAACACACAAAATTATTCACAAAATTTTACACATTTATATACCGTTTTTTTTCTGCCGGCGCTGCTGTACCAGTTTCGAGAACCCCTATTTCTATTTACTTTTTACACATAAAACGGTTAATATGACGCCCTGTACCGGAACAGATAACATTCCATATCAAGCACACAAACACAAGAGGAGATTAGAAATGGTTGTGTAAACACGAGATCATTTTGTAGCGCTTAAGTCAAACGACTGTTAATATTAGAACAGAGTTGAATTTAGGTATTTGTATTTTAAAGTTTTAACTTTCAACTTCCCTGTTTCAATTTCAAAGGTGAATGCTTTCTGATGAAGAAACTCGAATGATATCATTAAATTACCTTTGAACAAATACTAGTTCTATTCTTACATATTTTTTACTAACAAAACAGAAGGAATTCACCCAACAGCCATTAGTTCAGCGGCACTAAATTATAAGGAAGTCGTTCTTTCTTTCTCGTTTTGTATATGGTACTTCAAACGGAAATGAAATAGGTAAGTGATGCAATGAAGTCGCTGAACAATTCGAAGGCCAAAAAAACTTCAAAATTCGACATTTTTGTTTCAATCCTAGAATACGTAATGTTCGTAATGTTAAATCTAAATACCAAAACAAGAAAAAACAGTTATAGAACTTGTCAAATCAATATATCAACTCGTGTAACAAAATTGTAACTGATCGTTGTCTGTAAATGGAAGACAGTATAGACATACCTACACTACAGTATAGACACGACTTTAAAATAAAATGTTACCGAACGTCGGCAGTTTCTTTATATGGCACGGGCGGCGTGGTATAATTTTTTTG